TGCCCCTGGGCGCCTGGTGCGTGAGTGGCGAAAATGTCCCCGCCGGCCTTCTGTCCAAGAAAAACAGAAAATTTTCTGGTTTTTGGTGCATGAGGTGCTCATACGCTTTTTTCTGTAATAATTTTTTCCAGCATAGGTGACTTAGATTTCATCAGTTACTTTGCATAAAATGTCTGCAATTGCATGGAGATAAACGTGGTTTCCTGAAAACCAAGTTAATGTGCCACCTAACCCCTTTAATGCTTTGAAACTATAGTAAAACTCCAATAGTCCGGCATCCAATAGTCCGTCACTCCTGATAGTCCGGCATCAAAATGGCAAGAGCCTAGTGAGTGAGTTTTGGCAAAAAGAGTCACAAGGTAACAGCGGCAGCAGCTGAACTGAGCAAAAAGGGTAAAAAAGGCTTTAAAAAATTAAAACGTTACAGTATACTGTATGCAGTATGTACAATAAAAAGGGTTAAGAACACTTTATATACAGTATATATATTACTTGCTTATAGTACCTCCTGATAGTCTGGCATATTTGATAATCCAGCACCACCTAAATCCCATAGGTTCCGGATTATCGGAAGTCTACTGAAATGAGCTGAGTGTCTCCTACAACTCAAAGAACAAGCTGTTGTTCTTATTGGCAAGGCCACTGACAACTTTAGACCTTCTTACTATATCAAGTGTCTAAAGGATGTTTGAAATGTCAACAAATACATGTGCTTGACATAAAAGCTGTATGAGTACTTCATTTTCTGTGTCACTATTTTCTGACAGTATTGTACATAGTGGCTAAACTAACAACATAGTGGAGTAAATTCATCACAATTAAAGTAAGGCACAAAGGTAATAGTTTCTATTACAAATAGACTTATCTAAAGGCACATCCAGAATAAATGAAAATCCTTCAACTGTATAGTTTGTCTTTATGTTGATTTGGCGCTCTCAAAGCTAGGCAGGGTTAACTCTGGTCCGTAGATGAATGAGACACTTAAGGAATAACTAATGCTACTGAATCACTAACTTCTTTGAAGGAATACTTTTCTACTTAAGCTAGATATGAACTGGTTTCATAATCACGAGCTGACTACTGAAGCTCTTTATATAATTTGTGACAATTCTGGCAAATCCAGTGATCTAAATTTGGGTGCAGGACCTCAGGGTTTAAAAGACAGGCATATTAAGTAAATGTGGATGCTTCTGCAATTTCAGTTGGATAGGATATGCAAGAACTTCTTAATGCCCTGCTGCTGTGTTACGGTTCACTTCAGAAGTGGGTAAAGTGACTTCAGTTACCTGAGCATTTTTGAATTATACACTATTAACTGCATCTTACTTCACCTTAGGTTGAAGTATCTTTATCTGTCTAGTAAAAGCATTCTCTGAAACTCAGTGCTTTGAGACTGCTAATGTGTTTTGCTATGTAATTCTCAAGCATGTTTTGTCTGTTGTCTTGCAATTTGAGGTTTGTTCCTCTGTCACCATTGTCTTGTCTGAATTGTTAAATTACTACAGTTTCTAGTTTCTTTGACAGTTGCCTTTATTTCTTTACTCCTCATGTTACCTCTCTAGCAATCCTACAACCATTCTTATCTTTATAATTTAAAATAGTTTTTGACTATCTTATTGTAAGTCGGGTGTAACTTTTAGAAGTGGTATTTGTGTTGATACTTGATATGTCATTGGATTTTCCTTCATCTGAGGAAGTGGGTTTTGCCCATGAAAAGCTGGGGAAGTGTGTGTGTCTATAAAATAAAGTAAGTGTGTGTGTGAGGTGCTACAGCACTACTCTTTTTTTTTTTTAAAGTAGTAATACATTTGAAATCTTCCAAATTTCATACATGCTCGCTCTAATGAAAACACTTGTATTATAGTTAGGGATGTAAGGGACTAGTCAATATACAATTAACTGATAAGCCTAGGCTTATCAGTTAATTGTATATTGACTAGTCCCTTACATCCCTAACTATAATACAAGTGTTTTCATTAGAGCGAGCATGTATGAAATTTGCCTGTGAAGGGGGGCGGAAAGCGGTGGAGGCTGCTGAGGAGCATCCCGTTGGTGTGGGGTCCTAGCTCACCCTGAGCAGAGGCTGGAGCAGCTTCTGTCCACAGAGAGCTCAGACCCCCCACGGACAAAGGCTGCTGCTGGCTTAGCCTCTGTCCGCAGCCAGCACGGGCTTTGGTGGCCAGAGGCTGGTTTGTGGCAGAGTTCTGCCATCCCCCAGCAGCCTCTGTCCACAGGAGCTCGGACCTGTATCAGAGGCAGTAAAGCGGGTCTTTAACAACCAGTTCCTCTTGTGGACTGGCTCCTGCTTGGCACCCTACACTGTTGCCTCTGTTAGAGGCAACAGTGTGGGGTAACAGGGGGCTCTCTGGGAGTAAGGGCTGAGTGCACTGGCTACCAGCTCCACCCTCAGAGACTATAGAATAGTTGAGTAACTGCAAAGATTTCATGCAATTACTTGACTATTCAATTAACCAATAGTTAACATCCTTAGTTATAGCATAACATAAGATTTTTCCTCATTTGTACTATTCCTGAAGTAAGTTGGAACCCTTGCGGGGTAGTTTTTTGGGGTTGAACTTGCAGATGGAAGGTACTGATCTCTGTATCCTTGAACCATTGGTTTTTTGTTGTTGTTTTGTGATGCTCTCTTCTGCTGTAGTTGTTTTGACTTGTATGTGTGATCAAAAGAATAAATGTGGTTTTACTAGGTAGTCAGATCTCCTAAATCACATTCACAATTCCAAACTAATTAAATTATGGCTTTTTCCACTATACAGGCAGTCCCTGAGTTACGCGGATCCGACTTATGTCGGATCCGCAGTTACGAACGGGGATTTTCTCGCCCTGGGGCGAGAAAAGCTGCTCCCCGTCTCCCTGGTCTGCTGGGGGAGCC